AAAAAAAAAAAAAAAAAAAAAAAAAAAAAAAAAAAAAAAAAAAAAAAAAAAAAAAAAAAAAAAAAAAAAAACCGATGTGAGTTGGCTATTATTATGGTGAATACGGAATATTACGGCATATCAGAATTCGACGGATTACCGATACACGAATACAAGATGTATTACGAATACCTTAATGAATACTAATATATCGGTCTCACCCTTACTTGGGACATTCTTTTGTGCAAAATTTGCGAATCAAGGTTGTTGTATGTTTTAAAAATAAAAATGCAGGCAACCATGAAACCTTATGTTTGTAAAGTCTGTAAAAAATGTTTTGTATTTAAAGAGAACTTTAAAACGCACATGAAAATGCATCCTTCTGAAAAACGTTATGGTTGTGAAGTGTGCGAAAAACGCTTTACACAAATTTGTGAATTAAAACTACACATTAGAGTACATACTGCGGAAAAACCTTACATTTGTGAAGTATGTAGAAAACGTTTTGCCCAAATTGGTAATTTAAAATCTCATAAAAAAATACATACTGGAGAAAAACCGTACATTTGTGAAGTGTGTAGAAAAGGTTTTACCCAACTTCATCATTTAAAATATCATCTAAGAATACACACTGGAGAAAAACCGTACATTTGTGAAGTATGTAGAAAAGGTTTCTCCCAAATTAGTAGTTTAAAATCTCATATAAGAATACATACTGGAGAAAAACCGTACATTTGTGAAGTGTGTAGAAAAGGTTTTACCCAACTTCATCATTTAAAATCTCATCTAAGAATACACACTGGAGAAAAACCGTGAAGTGTGTCAGAAGTGCTATGCACGAAATTATATTTTGGAAATACACAAAAGAAGACATACTGCAGAGAAACCTTATGTTTGTGAAGTTTGTAAAAAAGGTTATGCACAAAATAGTTCCTTATGAGCACACATGAGAGCTCATACTGGAGAGAAGTCTCATGTCTGTCAAGAGTAAAGTAAAAGCTTTGCACACCTATCTAATTTGATAATTCATATGAGAACACATACTGGAGAGAAAGCTTATGTTTGTGATGCGTGTGAAAAAAGCTTTTTGGAATTGAGTTATTTAAAAATCCACATAGCAACACACACGGCAGAGAAACCTTATGTTTGTGATATGTGGAAACAATCTTTTGCACAGAAGAGTTATTTAAAAAAACATATATGTAAAACACACTGCTGAAAAACTTTGTTTGTGAAGTGTGTTAAAAAGACTGCACATTTTCATTGTTAAAAAATGCAGATGATAACACATAAAGGAGAAAGATATTTCACAATTTGTGAATCACAAATTAGTCATTTAAGGACACACATGAGAATACATACAGAAGACAAACCTTCTGCTTGTGAAGTTTGTACAAAAGGTTTTACACATCAGTCATTTAAAAACACACAAAGATACCTACTAGAGAAGAAGCCTTATTATTGTGAATTGTGTGGAAACGGTTTTTCAGTGTTGGTAATTTTAAATCACATATGAAAATGCATATTTGAGAAAAACAGTATGCATGAGTAAACTGTAACAAAGCATTTGCACAAATTGATAGTTTAATAATGTATCTGAGAATACATATTATCATAAAATTCCTGATCTTTCCGAGAATTTCTAGGTTATTATGATTTTTTTTTATGTAAATACATAATGTAGTATACCTATGACTTGTAAATAACAAATGCCAATTGGAACTTTATGGTCCTTGCAAAACAACTCATTATAACCTAGGCCTCATATTTTCTGAGAAATAAGCTTGAACACAGCCATGCAAAGTTATTGATATTCTCTCTACTTTGTCCAAACAATAATAATACAGTTAAAATATATGTTTCCAAATAGACAGATACCATACCCATGAAGTATTGGAGTAGTATTCATATTTAACCTTGTCATAAAAGGTCAAAAGTTTGATTTTTTATGTTATGGAGATAGGCAAAGTTAGGCAGATTTTTTGAAGCAGTAATGCGTTTCGGATTATTCGAAGCAGTAATGCGTTTGTAGATGTCTATGGGCTCCAGTAACCACTTAACACCAGGTCGGCTGTGAGCCTGTCCACCCATCTAAGCAATAAAAAGAAACATGTACATACTTAGAACGAAATATTCGAGGACTGTCATTATAGAAAATAAAACTACATACGAGGGCTGCACTAAAAGTATCGGGAATGGAATATTTCCACTGTTCCTGTCATATTAAAATCTTTTTAATTGAAAACTCCTTGGTTTTAAAAATCGAATACCATTTATTTATTTAAAAAAAGATTCTCGGTCTTGTCACGAGGTTTTGTCAAACTTGTTTAGTCGTTGAGAAAATGGAATTGACTCGAGAAAATTCAAGAGCGATGATTTATTATGACTTTCGAAGTGGTTTAACACAAAAACAGTGTGTTGACCGGATGATTTCTGCATTTGGTGATGAAGCCCCATCCAAAACCACAATTTATCGCTGGTTTGCTGAGTTTCAACGTGGACGTGTCAAGCTCAGTGATGATCCCCGTCAAGGTCGTCCAAAAACTGCAGTCACCCAAGAAAACGTTGATGCTGTGCGTAAGCTGATTGAGGAAGATCGACATGTGACATACCGCGAAATTCAGGCAACTTTAGACATTGGCATGAGTCAAATACAAATAATCTTGCATGAACAATTAGGTGTAAAAAAGTTGTTTTCCCGATGGATACCGCATTCGCTCTGTGAAGAGCAAAAAGCGGCTCGCGTTACTTGGTGTGTCAGAACTCTCGAAAGATTCCACGCAGGATCCTCAAATGCTGTATACAACATTGTATCAGGTGACGACTCCTGGATATACGGGTACGAACCCGAAACAAAAAACCAGTCACGAGTTTGGGTGTTCGAAAATGAGTTAAAGCCAACAAAAAGTGTTCGTTCACGGAGTGTTGCAAAAAAAATGGTGGCCACGTCTGTCTCCAAAACCGGCCATGTCACGACTATTCCTCTTGAGGGACAAAGAACGGTTAATGCAGAATGGTATGCTAGCATTTGTTTGCCACATGTCGTTTCTGAACTCCGTAAAGAGAACTGCAACCGCTGCATCATCCTCCATCACGACAATGCGAGTTCTCACACCGCGCACAGAACAAAAGAGTTTTCAGAGCAAGAAAACATAGAATTATTAGACCATCCGCCGTACAGCCCCGACCTAAGCCCTAATGATTTCTATACTTTCACTAAAATAAAGAATAAATTGCGTGGACAGAGATTTTCATCACCTGAAGAAGCTGTGGACGCCTACAAAACGGCCATTTTGGAGACCCCAACTTCCGAATGGAACGGTTACTCCAATGATTGGTTCCATCGTATGGAAAAATGTGTCAAATTTCGCGGAGAATACTTCGAAAAGCAATAAATACATTTTTAAATAGTAATGTTGTGTCACTTCGTTAATTCCCGAAATTTTCAGTGCCGCCTATGTACGTATATCAGTAGTAAAAATCCCCAAGCTATCTGCCACACTTTTCCCCTTTCTAAAACCAAACTGTGTCTGAGAGAGATGCTCACTATTCTCAATGAACCATTCAAGACGATTTTTAATAACATGTTCAAGTACTTTAGTAATTACCGATGATAAAACTATTGGGCGAAAAGACTCAACATTAGACTGTGTTTTATTTGGTTTCAAAAAGGACAGCACTGTTTGCCTTATTTTATTTTATATTTTATTAATTTTTTTATGAAAAATGATATTATGGAGTGAAATGAAGATGATTAATTTGAGACATTAATCAACTGGGATGAAATTAAATGAAATGAAATGGGATGAAATATAATCTCAGTAAAATGGTGGTCATTTAGTAAGATTTTTTTAGTGGACTTTTTGGAGGATCCCGAGAAGGTACTTTCAGCGGCTTTGTTTCATTTTTCCACATTTGTACACTTTCACAGATATTAAACAGTTAATAAACCACCATTAATACACATTTAAACCCGAAGAAACACTAAATAGACCAAAATAAAACAAATCACACAACTTCACTCCTCGCGTTCCCGCCAAAAAGTCCTTTTTAAGAACAAAAATCTTTGAAAAACGCGGGAAAACTTCGAAATTGGCGGGCGCGGTTTTTAAATTTTTTTTCAAATTAAATTGTAGATTTATTGTAATTAGTAATCAGAATAATTCTAAGTTGTGAATTTTATATTCGTGTTATTCCTATATTTATTATTTGTCTTTTCTACGTAGGGTAAGTTTTTCTGAATACTTTTATGAACGAGCCGCCAGACCCAGGGGGCACAGTGCCCCCTGTGGGAGCATTTGTTACAATTTCAAACGAATCTGGAATGGATTCCGACTGTTCGTCGGTATCCAAACGAAAATTAAATCGGAATTATCTTCATAGGATATGCAAGCAATGTAATAAGAGGAAAAGGAAACATAATAATGATGCATTAAAAAACACTGATTGTATTGTAATGATGAGTTTAAAAAGGTCCCCATGAATAATTTACCTTCTTCTACTCCCGATAACGTTAATTCTCCTTCCCAAGCTCCCACACAAATAGGCAGGACTAGTTATGACTGCAATGATCATGGCCCTTACATTGTGCATGTTTATAAAATACAGTCTGCGGAAGACGACGGCACCAATCTGCATCCTATTGTGTTCGGTAGGTTTTTACAAAAAAATGCTTTTAAAAAAATTGTAAATGGCAGTTTGAAAAGGATAGGAAGAAACAAACTGTCTCTTTCTTTTCATAAATATTTAGACGCCAACAGCTTTCTTCAGTCAAATTGTTTATCAGAAAATAGGTTGAAAGCATATATACTTACCCACCTTTAATATTACCAGAATGGGATTAGTAAGGGGAGTTCCAACTGAGTGGTTTCCCGAAGATATTAAGGAAAATACTAATATGCCTATGGGATGTGGTGTGTGTCCACACAAAAACAAAATGCAGGTCCAAACCAAGATGCTATAAGTGTGTACAAGGTCACACTGGTGACAGCTGTAATATTGAGGAAGATCAGGGCTCTTGCTGCTTATGTTCTGGGCTACATTTTGCGTCAAGCAAAAAATGCCCAGAATATTTTAGGCAAAAAGAAATAAAAACTACAATGGCTGAAAACAACCTATCATACATGGAAGCATCAAAACTACACCCAATAATAAATTAAACTTATGCTGATGTCTTAACATCCATTCCAAATAAAACTTTACAACCAGACAATACTATTGTACCCGGTTCACCCCCATCACGCATATTATCATACAAAAAAACAGTTGTTACTAAACCACGAACCCCACCTAATCCTAATAAATTAAGTTTAGCTTCAATCCAACCCACCGTTCCTACAAAACCATGGTTTTTTAAATTCAAAAAGATTTCCAAACCTGTTATATCTGTGCTCTGTAGAGTTCGTTTAGGTCATTGCTGTTCTCCGGTATTTCTACATAAAATTAGAATACGTGACAATTCGTTGTGTGAATGTGGTTTGGACGACGGCAGTATAGATCACATTTTCCTCAATTGTCGCTTGAACAACTCACTCATATGGGACCAAGTTATTAGCGAACTGAAAATTCAACGGCCGGTAAATGTCCGTCACCTCCTCTCACTATTCCCAGACTCCCGTATTATAAATGCTTTTATTAAGTTTATAACTACTAACTCTATAAAATTATAATTATATGTAGTGCATTATTCTCTGTACATAATCTTTATTATAATATGTAAGTTTATAGTAACATTAATTTTGTGTTAGTCCCAGGCAACATTATTATTTCCAAAATGGGATACTTTTCATAATAAAAAGTGTGTTTAAATAGCTCGACAATGTTCCATGTGTAGCCATAACACGACACTGGCAGAAATTGCTGAGAGTAGCAGCAGATTGCCATTATTTAAAAATAATAATAATAATAATAATAAAGGTTATGACCGTGAAGCTCACAATTCAATTGTAAAGGATTACAACATGCCCACACCCTCTAATGGTTGTGTATTACAAACCTCACCCAATGCTGACAAACAGAGTGAACAGAACTTAATAGACTTAATTACAACTTTACTTAAATTGTTATCTCAATCAAATTTAACCATACCGACCAACGCTGCTTCTTTATTCAACCCTAACAATAATAATAGTCATAATGGACAGGATAGTTCAATGGAACTGCAGAAGTATCATGAGTAAAAAACATGAACTTGTACATATTATAAATACTTTTAAAACTTTTATTCTTTCTTTATCTGAAACCTGGCTTAAGCCGAATTATACATTTAAAATCCCTGGCTATTCCTGTTTAAGGAATGACAGGGCTGATGGGTATGGCGGTGTGTGTCTTCTTGTCAGAGACTTTCATCTTATATCTCCTCTTCCTAAGAAAACCATGGTTTGCCAAACTATGTTTTAATAAAACTGCCACTTCGTCTTTAATCCGCATGCGTCTTGGACATATTTGCCTTCCGGTACATCTTAATAAACTTGGCATAGTATCTAGTGCTGCCTGTGAATGTGGTGAGAGTTACTGCGATATGAATCATGTTTTCTTTTCCTGTCCTTTATATGACCACTCTTTTCTATACGAATCTCTAATATCTCTCTCTATTCCTCTTCCTTTTAATATTTACTTACTTCTTAGAGATAATAGACCCTGTGTATATAGTGCATTAAATAAATTTATTATAAATAATAAGATTAAATTGTAGTTTAATATTATTTGTTTTCTTTTGTTATATATATTTTTTAGATATGAAATTATTCTGATTTGTTTTTGTATAATTCCCGGTACGATTTAATTATTTTAATTTGCGTTATACATTTCCCTCGCTTTGTTGACAAAATTTAAAATACTTGACACTGGCCAAATGCACGAATGGTGCCGAGCCAAAATTAAGAAGAAGAAGAAGAAGAAAAACAAAAATGGAGGCAACCATGAAACCTTATGTTTGTAAAGTCTGTAAAAAATGTTTTGTATTTAAAGAGAACTTTAAAACGCACATGAGAATGCATCCTTCTGAAAAACGTTATGGTTGTGAAGTGTGCGAAAAACGCTTTACACGAATTGCTGATTTAAAAACACACATTAGAATACATACTGCGGAAAAACCTTACATTTGTGAAATATGTAGAAAAGGTTTTTCCCAAATTAGTAGTTTAAAATCTCATATAAGAATACATACTGGAGAAAAACCGTACATTTGTGAAGTGTGTAGAAAAGGTTTTACCCAAATTCATCATTTAAAATCTCATCTAAGAATACACACTGGAGAAAAACCGTACATTTGTGAAGTGTGTCAGAAGTGCTATGCACGAAATTATATTTTGGAAATACACAAAAGAAGACATACTGCAGAGAAACCTTATGTTTGTGAAGTTTGTAAAAAACGTTATGCACAAAATAGTTCCTTAAGAGCACACATGAGAGCTCATACTGGAGATAATTCTCATGTCTGTCAAGAGTAAAGTAAAAGCTTTGCATACCTATCTAATTTGATAATTCATATGAGAACACATACTGGAGGGAAAGCTTATGTTTGTGATGCGTGTGAAAAAAGCTTGTTGGGATTGAGTAATTTAAAAATCCACATAGCAACACACACGGCAGAGAAACCTTATGTTTGTGATATGTGGAAACAATCTTTTGCACAGAAGAGTTATTTAAAAAAACATATACCTAAAACACACTGCTGAAAAACTTTGTTTGTGAAGTGTGTTAAAAAGACTGCACACTTTCATTGTTAAAAAATGCAGATGATAACACATAAAGCAGAAAGATATTTCACAATTTGGGAATCACAAATTTGTCATTTAAGAACACACATGAGAATATATACAGGAGACAAACCTGCTTGTGAAGTTTGTACAAAAGGTTTTACACATCAGTCATTTAAAAACACACAAAGATACCTACTAGAGAAGAAGCCTTATTATTGTGAATTGTGTGGAAAAGGTTTTTCAGTGTTGGTAATTTTAATTCACATATGAAAATGCATATTTTAGAAAAACAGTATGCATGTGTGAAGTGTAACAAAGCATTTGCACAAATTGATAGTTTAATAATGTATCTGAGAATATGTAATATCATAAAATGCCTGATCTTTCCAAGAATTTCTAGGTTATTATGTTTTTTTTTAATGTAAATACATAATGTAGCATACCTACGACTTGTAAAGAACAAATGCCAATCGGAACTTTATGGTCCTTGCAAAACAACTCATTATAACCTAGGCCTCATATTTTCTGAGAAATAAGCTTGCACACAGCCATGCAAAGTTATTGATATTCTCTCTACTTTGTCCAAACAATAATAATACAGTTAAAATATATGTTTCCAAATAGACAGATTCCATACCCATGAAGTATTGGAGTAGTATTCATATTTAACCTTGTCATAAAAGGTCAAAAGTTTTATTTTTTATGTTTTGGAGATAGGCAAAGTTAGGCAGATTTTTTGAAGCAAGTAAGTAATGCATTTCGGGATTATTTGAACCAGTAATGCGTTTGTAGATGTCTATGGGCTCCAGTAGCCACTTAACATCATGTCGACTGTGAGCTCGTCCACCCATCTAAGCAATAAAAAAAATCATGTGCATACTTAGAACAGAATATTCGAGGGCTGTCATTATAGAAAATAAAACTACATAATATTGAATAAAAAAAAATTGACAAACAATTTGTACTTGTAATGCAATAATCAAAATAAAATACGGTCATATCAACGGTCATATTATTATTATTATTATTTATTTATTTTATTATTATTTTACATTTATTATTATTATTATTATTATTAATTAAGAAAATAAATGTAATTTTTTAGTGTATCCTCATGTGGAGTAGTCATCCTCAGGTCAAGATCTCCGGGCATTGGTTTCCAAAGACAAATATCCAAATTTGAAGAAAATGTTTTGAACAACTGCTTTCGTTACTGCCATCTACAGGAGCAATGAGAAACTAATCGAATCGAAGCCATCTAGTAGCCGGCGCCCGTAAACATTTTTGTTGAGTGCTTGAGTTGCTTAATTAGAACTAATTTATGTGTATTATCTATGGCGCGGCGACGGCATTCGGTAGCATTGGTTAACATGAACCGCGACTCGGGCATATTGCGCGGCCTCAACCAACTCACCGCCCGCGCCGGGATGTGAGTCGAGCAAGCGCTACCTCATCTCAAATGAGGGGTGCCTCATGAGTACCTCGCGATGTAAACTGAGGTGCTCCCTCATCCTCACTTAAAATAGACGAGTCACTTATCGCTCTAAGTCCTTGTCGTCAACTGCTCTCAAATATTAAGTGTTTTTTTTTATTGCTTAGATGGCTGGACGAGCTCACAGCTCGCCTGGTGTTAAGTGGTTACTGGAGCCCATAGACATCTACAACGTAAATGTGTCATCCACCTTGAGATACAAGTTCTAAGGTCTCAGTACAGTTACAACGGTTACCCACCCTTCAAACCGAAACGCATTACTTTTCACGGCAAAAATTGGCGGGATGATAAGTAACTAACCTCTGCTATTTTAATAGTTAAAATAAAAAAATATCTCATTTTGAAATTCGTATCTCTGGCCACCTGTGTTCTAAATTTGAATTTGGTGGCGTGAAAATTTTATAGATTTTTTGTCATTTGAAAATATATATTGTCAAGTGTTTTCAAAATGGATAAAATTGAACAAAGAGCGGTAATAAAGTTTCTTCATATGAAGCGGAAAGATATCTATGACGAGTTAAAGAATGTTTTGGGTGAATGTGCTCCTTCTTATGCCACAGTAAAAAACTGGGTGGATAAGTTTAAACGCGGCCGTACATGTGTCCAAGATGAAGCCCGCCCCGGACGTCCAAAAAGCGACACGACTCTGGAAACGGTCGTGAAAGTACATGATATGTTTTTAACAGATCGACCGTTGAAGTTATCTGAAATAGCTGACACTACAGGTATCTCAAAAGAACAGGTACATCATATCATAAGCGAGGAATTAAATATGAAAAAGTTATCGGCCCGTTGGGTGCCACGATTGTTTACGCACGATCAAAAAAGGATTCGGGTGCAGCAAAACTAAAAAGAATGTCTCAACCCTTTTTCAGAGTAATAAAGCCGATTTTTTACGTCGATTTGTAACAACAGATGAAACGTGTTCATTATATACGCTAGAATCAAAAATTCAAGCAAAACAGTGGACGCAATCGGGATGCCCGGCTCCAAAAAAAGCCATGGCTGTAAAGTCGGCTGGAAAAGTGATGGCCTCCGTCTTTTGGGATGCAGATGGGATCTTGATGATAGATTACCTTCCTAAAGGTCAAACAATTAATGCAGAATACTACGCTAATCTTCTAGATAATGTTCATCAATGTATTCAGCAAAAACGAACAGGTTTGGCGAAAAAAAAACATCTTCCACCAAGACAACGCTAGGGTTCACACATGTGTTAAAGCTGTGGCACAAATCAACGAATTGAAGTATGATTTTCTGCCCCACACACCTTATTCGCCTGACCTAGCGCCATCAGACTTCTACTTATTCCCTAAGCTCAAAACTTTTTTGGGCGGACAGAAATTTGCCATAAATGATGAAGTCATAGCGGCTGTAGAGGAGTATTTTGCAGGCCACGAAAGAAATCATTTTATGGAAGGCATTATTGCTTTAGAACGAAGATGGATTAAGTGCGTAGAGGTTCATGGAGACTATGTCGAAAAATAAAATTAATTTTATCATGGAAAGTTAAGTGTTTCATTACTAAGCTACTACTTATCATCCCGCCCTTGTACCTATCCGTGCGGACTCACAAGAGGTCCTACCACCAGTAAGAAAAGTGTTGTGATGCTGATATGATACTGTAGTAGATAAATGAGGAAGGCACCTGCGGGGTGTACGCAGGGACGTCTTAAATCAGGCTGGGGCCCTTGGGCACACAAGAATTTGAGGCCCTTTTGAAAGTAAAAAAAGCGAATTATAATATATATTTTTTACTGAGTATGACCATTTATTATAAGTAATCAAATACAGTATGATATAATGTGTCATTAATATGATATTAGAATGCTGCTGGTTTTTTGGTTACGATTACGGTAACGGCAACCGTTATCGTGATCGCTAGATATATTATCGCTAGAGTCAATTAGGTACCGTAAAATGGGGTCGATAGAAACATTTTTAGACTTTGAATCAGATTTTCACTATGCTTCCGACTTTAAATAAGAAACAATTTTTGTTGGAGTAAGTATGAGTTAATATTGGTTATACATTAAATAAACAGTAAAAAGTATTTTTATACTTTATTTATTACATAAAAGACGAAAATATATGTGTTTTCTATTTGGACTGGATGTGGGTTCAATGGATACGCCATATGGGGTAAATAGAAAAAAATGCTAGGGCTGCTACTTTTTCGATAGTATATGTAGGTTAATAATCATATTTACCTACATATACTATAATATATCGTAGGTACTCACCACCTTAGGTAAGTTGCCTGATTTTTTGTAAAATGAAACTAAATATTTTGAGTACCTATTTATTATAAATTTCACTTAGAAGTTTAAATCACAGTCCTTAGAATTACTAGGAATCATAGAGTATGATAATAGTTATCCCTTATTTATTATTTTATCAGTCTTATTAATTTTAAATCACTTCTTCGAATGAGATTCTTATAATTTATTTTGTAGCTATATAATATCATCGTCCATCAAATCTTTGAGAATATCAGCATCATTAGTGTAGTACGATGATCGTGGTGCAGGCACCATAGTACTTTTCGAACCGCTTGTGCTAGGTTGATTAGCAGTTTTAACAAAAGAATGTGGAGAAATCTGTCTGCATTCATTTAAATGAACTATCTATAAATGAACTATGATATCTTTCTGTCCGAAGTACTTGGAGATATAATTTCGTCAGCAAGAATGTTTACTTTATTATTTGTACTAATTTTCTTTATTCTCGGTGTCAAATTCTCTTTACCTTCTGTACGCGTACTTGTAAAATTCTCGGCTATCACTATTTCATTTCCTTCATACAAAACGTAATCTCCAATAGTAATGGACATAGCCTCTATATCTTCATTAGATAAACAATAAATTTCAGTATTTTGTATATTATTTAAAGAGATAAAATAAGATTTCCTTTTTTTCTTCATTTTCTTTGCCTTTATTTCCTTTTGTTTTTTTTCCTTTACCCTTGCCGTTATAAACTTTTTTATCCATTTCATCATAATACGCCGTTTCTTCGTCATAAATCCTTTCTTCATTATTTATCTTTTTCGTCCTTTTTCCGATTCTCTTGGCTTTTTTCTTGACATTTTCTGATTCATCCTCAGTTTTTCCATAATCTTCAGAAGAACCAACACTCCTTCCTGGTATAACTTCTAATTTTCTTTTTCTTTTTGGTTCGTTTATATTAGTTGTTCCATACCGCATCTCTTTGAGAATGTCTAATACTGATTTTCAACTTCATTTTCTCCACTTTCTTTTACATCTAGTTCTTCCGGCAGTCTACTCAAAACCTGATTTGGATCAATAGGTTTGATTCCGGTCTTCCTAAAACCAGATATTATATTTTGTTTGGCATTTTCAGAGAGGTCTTCCATGAGTTTTTTTAATAGCTTTGGGAAACATCCTTTGGGCAGAGATGTTTGGGACTTGCCATCTGTTTTTTTCCATTTAACCAGAATGTTACGCCAGGCCATCTTCATTGGACGAAAGAATGCTACATCCAATGGCTGGGTTAAATGTGTGCTATTGGCTGGAAAAAGATGAATGATATATCTTGCTCATGACATAATTTTATTACGTCTAAAGACAAGTGTGATGACAAATTGTCCCCAATAAGAACCTTTTTCCCTTCTTTGTTTCTAAAATAAGGCAAAACAATGGATTTTACCCAATCTTCGAATATATTGCCGTCGAACCATCCACTTTGAGACCGATTATATCTAGTTCCCGCTGGCCCATTCTCACACCACGTATCGTATAAATTTTGGGCCTTGTACACCACATAGGGTGGCAACAAATCCCCTTCAGCGGTAGCTGACATCATTATCGATATGGAGGACTTAGAATGGTTGACTACCCTTTCTGGGTACTTAGTACCACGTTTTGTTATGATTTTTTTCCGGCCAGGGTCATCGGTTAAATTCGTTTCGTCATAGTTTATTATATTCTGAGCCTCAACATTTTCTAAAGACAGTTTTAATTCTTCAAAATATTTTTTTAACGACATTGGCGAGACTGCTGCCCTATTATTTTTAATATTTTGACAGTTTCGTTGCGATATTTGGTCTTTATGCCTCCTAAAGAAGCTTCTTACAAAGTCTGGGCCAGGCAAATTATTTTTAAATTTTAAGACTGTCCTTCCTACTTTATCAAGATAATACTTAACAAGGAATCGCAAATCTAAAGAGTCCATTGGATAACCCCAGTCGGCACATATATTTATATATTTTATTATCGTTTCCTCAGTCTCCTCGGACAGGACAGTCTGACCCCCGTGCCTTTTCATAGTTCGAGTAGCGTGCCTATATAATACTGATTTGTCTATTTTAAATTTGTCAGCTATGAATTTTAGAGATTTATTGCCAGATCTATATGCTTCTACTGCTTCGGATATAAGACTTACATCATATTTATTATACCTTTTGCCCCTTGGATCTGCTTTATATATGCGCGGCATGTTGGATATGTTTACCTGTAAATAAGTAAAATTTGCCTGAGTTTACATATGTTTATTTAAACAAATGTCGAATATCTCAATTTAACAGGCACACAACATGAATTCATTATTATCACATCACTTAAATATCATATATTAATATATGTATAATGAAAATTACACCATAAACTCAACTAGTCGCGACTTTTTGTTTAATTTTATGTAAAAATTACTTTATCAACACTCATCATACGCTTGTGTCAACCCTAATAACAGTTTTTCTATAGACCCCCTACTCGTTTCTATCCAAACATTCTCGTTTCTATTAACCCTATACTACGTTTCTATTGACCCCATATTACGTGTCTATTTCCCCCTTTGGCGTTTCTATTTACCCCAAACATTACAAAATTGTACACATACAAATATTTTCATAAATATCAATAAATTTAAATTATAATTGTACTTACCGATACACAAAATTTGTTCCTGATGAACCACAGAATAATAAAATCAAACTTTTATCACTGAACACAACGTTTAACATATAAAGAATTAGTAACTTTTCTGGAGTACAAATTAACGTAGTTCGACCGACTACATTCAAACGTATTTTATTTTACCTTTGCCTAACTTCACGTCGAATCAGAGTTTGCCAGTGTAAAAAAAAATGTTCTCTCTTAAAAATTTAAATAAAAATAGTAGATTTACTGACGAAAATCATTGTATATTATGGTATAAAAAACTTTCCTGGTTTTGTGTCTATTCACCCCGTAATTTCTATTGACCCCGTTTTACGGTAAGTCTTAATTTGATACATAGCTCTGTTGCAAGATAAATCTAGACTAAATAATCAATAGCTTTGCCCGAGAGCAAAATAAATTTGCACATAATGCTCTGGAAATTATTTACAAGACTACCACCTACACTACCTATCCAATATGAAGAGTACGTGGCTAAACTATTACCTAAATCAACGAGGGCGGCTCCTACGGCGACAGCTGAACTGAAACTTATTTTATTCATGCATCCTACTCCTCGCGTCACTGCTGAGGGTCGTGACCATCAATTTTCGACAGGATTTGACTCGTTGTAATGTCCCTCCGATCATTGGCCGCGAGAAGGGCTTATTCACGCGTACACTCTTAATCTCATGGAAACCAATTACTGAAGAACCAACGACACGAGAGAATCAAGTCATTAAAATAAGTCTTATTAGGCATAACAATATACGGGTACAGACCGTGGACATACTGCTGGCTCATTCGACTACTTTCATAACGAAATTGTCTCAATTCATATCTCGAGTAGGTACTTAATGAGGGCGTTATATGTTTGGTTTCGAGTCTTGTCGACACCCTTTTTTTCTTACTTAGATGGGTGGACGAGCTTACAGCCCACCTGATGTTAAGTGTAGAGCCCATGGACATCTACAGCCTAAATAGGCCACCCACCTTGAGATATAAGTTCTTAGGTCTCAGTATAGTTACAACGGCTGCCCCACCCTTCAAACCGAAACGCATTACTGCTTCACGGCAGAAATAGGCAGGGCTGTGGTACCTACCCGTGCGGACTCACAAGAGGTCCTACCACCAGTAATTACGCAAATTATAATTTTGCGGGTTTTGATTTTTATTACACGTTGTTATTCCTTCACTGTGGAAGTCAATCTTGAACATTTGTGGAGTACGTATCTCATTAGAAAAATTGGTATCCGCCTGCGGAATTCGAACACCGTTGCATCGCTCGATACGAATGCACCGGACGTCTTATTATCCTTTAGGCCATGACGACTCCAACACCAACCGTGTCTTTGTTATTTCGGCCGCTAAGGGTATCTGTTAGTCTTACATTATTCTATCGACTAGAGGCTCTTCACCTTGGAGACCTGCTGCGGATATGGGTACGAACCGGCGCGACATCTCCACGTACATCCCTCATCTGAATTTTCAAGGTCCGCAGAGAGTATCCGGACATCGGCGCAAATGCGGTGCTCTTCGCGTTCCGAACCAAGAAGATAAGCCAATAAGACTTAGAAACTCTTGCTTCAATCTATCAACGGACAATCAGCTACTGTTTCGTCTGTCGATTTTAAAACACATTTATGCAAAATGATCAATTTGCATGCAACGGATGTTATGTTTCCTCATTATCAGAAAGGCCCGGCTTTGTGTGGGTTGGTATAATTTAGGTTAGAGAAAGGGACTAATTAACGGGGCTATTTTCTACTTTAAGCTAACTGTTTTATGCGTTTTTCGTTATTGTTTTAATGTGTTAATTGCATGTAGATGTTAGAAGTAGAAATCATTGGTAAGTGTGTCGGTTTTTTTTACGATAACAATATTCACAAGAAATCCGAAATGATGTTTTGATGTTTATATTTAAAAAAAATTTTGAGTGTCTTGTTTAAAGTCATGATAACTTTAATTGACAATTGACTGTCAGTTTGCCTAGTGTGAGTTTTTTAACGTTCTCGATAGCGTTAAAGTTAACTCAAATTTGTATGGAGTTGGAACGTATGCCTACGTTTGCCACTAGGGGCACTGTTTCAATTGCATACAAATTTTAGTTTACTTTTACGCTATCGAAAACGTTAAAAAAATCGCACTAAGAACACTGTTATTTTTCGAGAAGTATTGATATATTTCGATGAAACTATAGATAAAAACTTTGGATTTGAAACAGGTAATTTTTTTTACTACCTGTACTAAGATTTTATGCTGAAGTACCCGCTCCGGGCTGAGGCGCCAAATGTGGCCATGCGTTTTGGATTGAGTACTGAGTGGCATTCACATTGCGATGCCCACGCACGNCGCACTAAGAACACTGTTATTTTTCGAGAAGTATTGATATATTTCGATGAAACTATAGATAAAAACTTTGGATTTGAAACAGGTAATTTTTTTTACTACCTGTACTAAGATTTTATGCTGAAGTACCCGCTCCGGGCTGAGGCGCCAAATGTGGCCATGCGTTTTGGATTGAGTACTGAGTGGCATTCACATTGCGATGCCCACGCACGCCTGCATCGATGGGCCGTGAGCTCACTACCTTAAAAGGATTGTAAATTCATAATACCAAAATTTGAGATTTATTTTCCTACCTAGCCTTGAGAGGGTATTTCAGCTTCGCCTTGACGTGTAGGTGAGCTCACATGGCTCAAACCGGAAGTGTTGCTAACACTGGCCCTAACAAGAGCAGTGCTTCGCAGAATGTACCATCGGATCGGAAACGCGACTGACTGAGAAGATCCGGCGAGAAACTCAGTGGGCAGTTTGAGATAGTAACGTAAATGAGTCAAACGACATTTGTTCACAACCAAATAAAATTCAAGGCTAGGTCCGTTTGTCATTGTAAAATAATTGAAGAGGTACGCGGCATCATCATTTATTGAGGAATCATCGACGGTTTATCCTCTTCAAATATCTCTCCTAAACCCACTCCTCCACAGACACAGTTTCCGTCGATAGATTGAAACAATCCTTTGTAAATAAAACGACGTCTGAGAAATCACACACTCAGATAGGTTAATGTTTAAAAAATATAAAGGTTTTGCATTAAAAATAGCTTACTGTCTATCTAACAAATGGTTAACATAATTAAAAACCTAATAATAGAAGTGTAAATTACCTTTTCTGTTAGAAAATAGAATAAAACAAAAAAATGTTCAACATTTTGTATTAAGAAAAATAGATATAAACAGACATAGGTAACATTTTATCAATTTGATAATTGAACAGGAAAAAATACTGCGCGTATTAGTAGCGCCATCTAGTTTCCAAAATTATAAGCACTGACCAATTATAATTAACTAGTGGATAGATTTAATATCTACTCCAAATTATCTTTCGTTCCAAATTGGCATTCCTTTATATGATCAAATATTAATTCGACTGTGTCATTGTCAATTCTACCCGCTTTATGAAGCATTCTCACTAAATTAGTTAATGTGAAAAGTGATTTCACTGTAATACCATTCGCTTCGAGTACACTAGCGCCACCTTGTTCCCGCTCGAGTACTATTACAGCATGTGTAACTATCAAACCTTCTTTGCGTAAAGTTTCAACTGTTTCTAGCAAGCTGCCGCCAGATGTCACTACATCTTCAACAACAAGGCACGTCTGATTTTTTTCATAAACGCCCTCCAGTAATTTCTTTGTGGCATATAATTTTGTTTCTTTTCTCTTCATGATCATTGGTCTGTCCGTGTTGATGGAGATGACTACTGCAAGAGGCAGTGCAGCGTATGGAACTCCACATATCATATCGTGATGAACGTCTTTAATGAGTTTCTCCAATTGATGTGACACTGCTACCTGTGGACAAAAATATAAAAACTAATTATAATAGTTTCCATTATATACTTCTACCCTTTTGATTTTTTGACATTAGGATTCAATTTTCGAAATCGTTCGAAATCTTTGCAAGAAACCAATCACCATACTTAAAAAAGAAGAAGAGTTAGTGGAACACCTACATTAAATTATCGGTATATTAGACAGATATTTTTTATCTATAGTCCCATGACAAATATGAAAAACCAGGGACTTTTTGGCGGGAACGCTAGAGGTGAAGTTGTGTGATTTGTTTTATTTTGTCTATTTTGTATTTCTTCAGATTTAAATGTGTAATAACGGTGGTTTATTAACTGTTATAGTGAGGGGTAGATCTCAGGGGTATTTAAAACTATGGGTTAGTCACCAATATCGAATTTCGAATTTTAATCTTCCTTTATCACAAACAATTTCAATTTTAAACAATAATTACATTTAGACGCGGGCGCACGCTATTCACACTCAAAACGGAAGCGCCCGGAACATAGATTATACACTGTTGAAAAGATTGACATAGATGCTAACTATGTATAGCGAGCGGGCATACGGCCGCGAGAGTGACGTACCGGTCGGTTTGCTACACTGTTTAATATCTGTGAAAAAGCACAAATGTAGGAAAATGAAACAAAGCCGCTGGACGTAACTTCTTGGGATCCTCCAAAAAGTTCACTGAAAAAATCTCAGTAAATGACTACCATTTTACTGAGATTATATTTCATCCCATATCATCTCATCTCATTTCATTTAATTTCATCCCAGTTGAAATGTATCAAATTAATCATCTTTATTTCATTTCACTCCATATTATAATTGTTCATAAAAATAAGAATATAAATTTAAATAAGACATGACCTAAGGGTCTTAGTTATCAGATCATAAAATCCAATGAAGTAGGAAACTTATGGAAATGAAACGTCAACCAAAATTTCGTGCCACTGTGACGTCATCTGGCCACAAAACATGGCGGCTTTAGTGCTGTACAAAAGATTTCAATGTTATCAGGTTTTATCGATAAACGTTCTTGGCTCATTTTATTTTAAATATTGTTGAGTATTATTTATTTGTAGAATTTATACTTTAATGGGAAGTAAGTAAGTATATTGTTATGTGCAAATATGATATGATTTAGATGGGTGAAATCTAAGACAAGTTCGTCCTTCGAATTTGCCAAGTAAACGATATGATGATTTTTAAAAGTTGCTACACTGATTTTATAAAGTTGTCGTTTGTCGCAAAACATAAAGATATGGCGTAGTTCAAAGCCATCAGCCCATTTCTAGCATGCTAAATGTTATCGTATTTTGAGTACGTGTTTTTCTTAGACTATTACAATCTATTTTAATTGTTTTGCTGACTCTAAAGTCCGTAACATACTACCGCAGCGCACCCCAAGGAAGGTGCGCCGCACCATTTGAATCACTTTCGCTTGAGAGTGATTCAAATTTTAAACTTATCAAGGGACCGCGTGAAAAAAAAAACACCTACAGAACATTTATTCATTAATTACAAACGTCATTCCTTGTGACTTCCTCTCTAAAATCACTTAATTATTAAATATTTAACAAATTTACAATAGTGTTTTACTCACTGCGGAATAAAACTATTTTATTTAAATAGTTCCGAAGAGATTTTGTCGGTAGCCTTTTTCCCGAAATATCTAAACAGAATGTCTAAATATGTTTTGATGACATATTTTAAAGTGGTATTTATGATTAGTGTCATGATCAATAGATTCCGACCGAAAAATGGATTTTTCGGATGAGGGCTCCATAATGAATTTAAATACATATAGATAATAGTTTTAGGACATCGACTTTCTTGAGATCCTATAAAATACGTTTTAATTATTATTTTTGTATGTTTTAAGCATGATAAATTATGAAATTTTATATAATCAATCATATTAAATCGATATCAAAGTCAATAAATAATGTACAACCCAAAACAGACGGCCGAACTGACGTGACAATGACATTTGGCGCGCTAAACATGGCGGATTTTCGGCCTCATTAGACGGAGACGGAGATATTTACGTATATTCATGTTTCATTTTATGTACGCACTGAAATACTGTTATATTGTTTTCCTGCGAGTTAAAGTGCTGAGTAAGAACGAGATAGATGTATGTTTATGTATGTGCCTTCAAAATGGGTGCTATTTATATAAGCAATTGTACGTATAGAACAATATGTCGTGTCCCTACTATATAGGTCTATGATAAAATCCCATAAAAAAAATATTAAAATATGCCATACCAAAAAAATTTTTTTTTCGTGACGTAAATAAGCAAAGGATTTCACGACCACGCAGACACGCAATATCGAAAGATTTCGAAGTTTTACGTTAGAGTTATTATGAATTATTTGTACGATTATTACAGGGAGAGAAAATTTGTGATACGTACACGGTCATATTTAAAAAAGGTTTTTAAGTTCTCGCAAACGATTTAGCAGGTCAATACATTATTATGCCTGCAATAGCCATGCGTATAGGTAGTATCGCGAGAGCATCGGTATCGCAGGATCCGACTGATGCATGACCACGACCACTCCGTCAAGAGTGTACGAATAGGAAGAATAGATAGTTTTTTTTTATTGCTTCGATGGGTGGACGAGCTCACAGCCCACCTGGTGCTAAGTGGTTACTGGAGCCCATGGACATCTACAATGTAAATGCGCCACCCACCTTGAGATATAAGTTCTAAGATCTCAGTATAGTTACAAAGGCTGCCCTACCCTTCAAANCATGACCACGACCACTCCGTCAAGAGTGTACGAATAGGAAGAATAGATAGTTTTTTTTTATTGCTTCGATGGGTGGACGAGCTCACAGCCCACCTGGTGCTAAGTGGTTACTGGAGCCCATGGACATCTACAATGTAAATGCGCCACCCACCTTGAGATATAAGTTCTAAGATCTCAGTATAGTTACAAAGGCTGCCCTACCCTTCAAACCGAAACACATTTTTTTTTATTGCCCTTGTAGGCAGATGAGCATACGGCCCACCTGATGGTGAGTGATTACCGTCGCCCATGGACTTCAGCAATGCCAGGGGCAGAGCCAAGCCGCTGCCTACCGCTTCGTTATTACTGCTTCACAGCAGAAATTGGTAGGGCGGTGGTACCTATCCGCGCGGATTCACAAGAGGTCCTACCACCAGTATTGGCTAGTACAAATTTTACCATCAGCTTAGGGTGCGAAACGATGACTCGTAGGTCGAAGTAGATGGGCGTTCGCCTGCCGACCTTCGCCTCTATGTCTTCAAGTCGCACAGCTCCTGCATCGAATAACTGCACTGCAAGATCCTGTAGTGTGGACGTCATGATACTGGAACAAGAAAGAGGTTTGTTTTGATTGCACTTGCTTTTTTTTTTATTGCTTTGATGGGTGGACGAGCTCACAGCCCACCTGGTGTTAAGTGGTTACTGGAGCCCATAGACATCCACAACGTAAATGCGTCACCCACCATGAGATACAAGTTCTAAGGTCTCAAGTATAGTTACAACGGCTGCCCCACCCTTCAAACCGAAACGCATTACTGCTTCACGACAGAAATAGGCAGGGTGGTGGTACCGTCCCGCGCGGACTCACAAGAGGTCCTACCACCAGTAAAATTGCCTGAATTTGGGAAGAGTATGTAAACGTTTTATCTCTATTAAATGCTAAATAATCATCAAAAAATGGTAAATGGCCGTCTTCGCTCAAAATGACGTGCACTTCGGATCCTCCCGATCCACTATCGGGACTTTTAGACATTCCAAGGACCGGACACCGTCCTCGTCGAACCCGTCGATGGAGTCTACTGAGTTTTTCGCCGGATCTTGTCAGTGGGTCGCGATTCCGATCCGGTGGTAGATTCAGCAATGCGCTGCTCCTGTTAGGATAGATGCAAGTTTTTTTTTTTGATTGCCCTTGTAGGCAGACGGGCATACGGCCCACCTGATGGTGAGCGGTTACCGTCGCCCGTGGACTTCAACAATGCCAGGGGCAGAGCCAAGCCACTGCCTACCGCTTAATACTCTCCATAAGCCTCGTTTGAAGAAGGACTTGTCATAGCGCTCGGGAAACACCGTGGAGGGGAGCTCATTCCATAGCCGGATGGTACGTGGCAAACAAGACCTCTGGAAACGCACTGTGGATGACCGCAGTGGCTCCAGGTAGTATGGATGATGGTAAAAATGAGATGATAGTATCATCTCGAATAATTCCTCAGAGCATTCCCCATGGAACATACGGTACAAAATACAGAGGGAACTGAAATCCCTCCGCAGATCCAGAGGTTCTAAACGATCCGTGAGAATGGAATTATCGACAAACTCAAGCTTAGGCGGAATTTGTAGGTAATTTCATTGCTCAAGGTTGCCCTGCCACAAAAAACATTCCAATAATACCCCATACATCCAAGTCTACTCTAGCATTTAAAGGTTATGGTACAATAAATAAAATTTCCCACATAACATGTACATTAACCCTTTGTTTGGGTAGTAATGTAGTGATTTAGAAAGAAAATTATACAAATACTTGTTTTCGTTAAACTTGTTAAATTGTATTAAGCATGAGTCCATGGACATCAGAACGTGAATGCCGGTGTCCATATTGAGACACAAGATCGGACTCTGAACTGCATTTATTATTGCGATGATCACGTAAAAAGCTTCTAGAAGTTTTAGATGATCGGAAAGTAAATCAAAACCCGGTTTTAGCTCACAAACAAGAATGATAGTAATCAAACTTCCACGTTACATAACTAGATCATACGATAAAAACAAAATAAACTTGATTTTGTTGTCCAAATTCATAAACGTCTAAAAATAATTTAGAATGTTAATATATAAACTTGTTTTTAACAGTTAAATGTTACCTACAACCTGCTTATGAAAAATAACTAAGTATAAGTCACAGTCTATTATTTTAAACAATTTTAAACCACAAAATATATGAAGCAGTCATCGCAAAAGTAGCCTAGTCCACAATTCATATGCTTGCTTTTTTTTTTATTGCTTAGAAGGATGGACGAGCTCACAGCCCACCTGATGTTAAGTGGTTACTGGAGCCCATAGACATCTACAACGTAAACGCGCCACCCACCTTGAGATATAAGTTCTAAGGTCTTAGTACAGTTACAACGGCTGTCCCGCCCTTCAAACCGAAACGCATTACTGCTTCACGGCAGAAATAGGCGGAGTGGTGGTACCTAACTCGTGCGGACCCGATTGCTTATGTATTGCAATTAACTTAAAACATAATAAATTTTGATGCAAAATCGGCCTATCCACTAGTTTCATCCGTAGATAACAGATGCCTCTATAAACATCATTTTAGCGCGTATTTTTTTTTGCCTGCGAAGTATTGTAAAGGAAAATTCGAATCTCATTATCTCCATACTAACTGTGGTAAGCTTAGGCCAATTTTGCGCTGACGGCCTCATATAATAACGGACAAGAATTTTAGATTTCTAACTCAACATCGTGATTGGTCTTTTGATCTCTCAACTGACTTCAAAAATCGTCGCAACGGTTGTCGAAAATTATTATTAAGAGAGCATTCCAATAGTTTTTAGGTGAAATACGAATGAACAAACAAACAACCCAACTGGTTTGTTAATTTAAACGCAATAAAGAATTTGTTGTTTTATGTTAATTGTTAGGAAGTCATTTTGGGCAATGTCAAAGGGAAAGTAAGGCCACTGAGCACTTTTCCCAAATCTTTTTTTTTTATTGCTTAGACGGGTAGACGAGCTCACAGCCCACCTGGTGTTGAGTGGTTACTGGAGCCCATAGACATCTACAACGTAAATGCGCCACCCACCTTGAGACTTAAGTTCTAAGGTCTCAGTACAGTTACAACGGCTACCCCACCCTTCAAACTGAAAGGTCCTACGCAAATTATAATTTTGCGATTTTTAATTTTATTACACGGTGTTATTCCTTCACCGTGGAAGTCAATCGTGAACACTTGTCAAGTACGTATTTCATTAGAGAAATTGGTATCCGCCTGCGGGATTCGAACGCCGTTGCATCGCTCGATACGAATGCACCGGACGTCTTATCCTTTAGGCCACGACGACTTTAAAAAATCTCAATTGAAGGAGGACTAGTGTCTCAGCCCTCAGGCAACTTCCGTAGCTTTGAAGGTGGAAGATGACCAGACCGTCTCCTACAGTACCTCATCACAATAGGCATCTCTGAAACCATAACCTGCTTTGCCTTTGTAAATACTTATACCAGTATTATATGTAGAATGATTTTTTTTCCCAACCTATTCTATCCTCGAGGGGCTGTTTTAGATTCGCCGAGCTTCTAGGTGAGCTTATGGGGCTCAAACCTAACGTCGTTGCTAACACGAACCTTAGCAAGAGCCGTGCTTCGCAGAATCTACCACCGGATCGGAAACGCGACCTACTGAGAAGATCCGGCGAGAAACTCAGTGGGCTATGTCTATGGGTTAATTTACTCGCCGAGCCCTTCGTCTCAAGCGACGGGTTCGAGGAGAACGATGACCGGTGCTTGAGGTACCTAAAAGCACCGTTAGTGGATCGGAAGGATCCGAAATAACACGGGTAGAATGCGTTATTATTACAATGTCATAAAGAAAAGTAGGTACAATTGAATTCGGAGAATGAAAAACAGAAGCCACGTGCAATTCAGATCAGGTAGAAATGGAACCTGCTATGTGCTTATTGCGAATTTTTTAATGTTCTCGATAGCGTAAAAGTTAACCCAATTTTGTATGCAGTTGGAACAACGCCCCTAACTGCAAACGTAAGTAAGCGATCCCATTCCATACAAATATGAGCTAACTTTTACGCTATCGAAAACGTTAAAAACTCGCTCTAAGCACACAGATCTACTCCACCTCACTCTCACGCAAATTAATTCGTATTGATGATACGTTTGTCTCTTTTTAACCTTCGATTTCTTTTTCGTTGCTTCAATAAATCTATACTGCCAATAAATACGAACGCTGTTTTTTAGGTTCTTACGAATTTCATCGCGAAACGCCAGTGAGGTATTTAGGGGGCACATTCGCGAGAAGGGGCTGGTACCCATCCTCATTACTGCAATATACCGAGTTAGGAAGGAATGTAGTCCGTCTATCTTAGACACGGGGAACTTGGTTAGTGCGTTGAGACCCTATTATCCGTTTGATTGTTGTACCGGCGTATTTCGATCGCCAACTGGGGTTTGCTGGTGGGATATAAAGCCCGCACGGATAGGCACCACCGTCCGGACGTATTGTAATATAATTGAGACGTCGACCTCACTCCTCAAGGTCTGTGACGTCATTGACTTTTTCATTTCTATTAACTTAAAACTGATTTGCTAGTCACTATTGGCTCTCGATGATAATTAAACAAAAACATGTTAAGATACGATAGTCGTGTGTGTTCGAAGGCAAGGCAGAATGTACTAGAAAAATTATAATACTCCTTTAAATATTTCAGTCGCGGCGAGTTAAAAATTAACTATGCGAGAACTCTGCGTTGTAAAAAACATGTTTCACAATCGGGAAAATTCCGTTAATAAAATTAATTTAGAGTCAACTTGAGATAAATAACTTGAATTTCTGATGGAACCCACATGCCTGGTCGGTATAAGCCGCAATCAATCCCATATTCCAAGAGGTGTCAAGAAATATTTCTCAAAGAAATTGCTTTCGGTGAGGCCTAATTGTTACTCGTAATGTAACTGTAAGTTCGCTTAGGTTCGACTTTAGGTTTAAATACCAATTAAAAGACTATTTTTTCTTTTTGGCGAATGGACTAACGGCTCACGTGTATTTAAGTGGTCACCGGAGCCGTAGGCATAACAGCGCGAATGCCGCCGCACAGTGGGTCGATTCTATGATTTTAGTGACTTAGGGACCAACTTTGTTTTTTTATATATTTTTTTATGTAGATAGATAGAGCTCGTTAATCTCAATAATAATTGTTTTGGGCAAAAATTACAAAAACTTTATAGTTTGGTCAGAAAAATGTGTTTTGTGATTTTTTTGTATGGAGCGGGTCACATTAAATTAAATTCCTGCTAAGTACCGCGAGGTCCCGCTTTGAAACTTTATTTTCCTTATACCTTGTCTAGTCTACTATNTTGCCGTCTATCATCATCATGTGCAATTGATGCTTAACTTCAACTTGTTTGATTTTTGATGGCTGAAGTCTTTCTATTTCTTCTGTTATGCTAGCTTTTATAATTGTCACTGTTGACTGCGTTTCTTTTGTAAATTTAAACATTATTGGACGGCAATAAAAAGTTGATGAGGGTAGGTCGTTTTCCCAAACAATTGTTCCATAAAATTTCTGAAGCCTTATAGGAACTAGACTGACCATGAAAATAGATAAATCATCAAACTCTGTTTCAGTTTTTTGTTTATAATTACTTTGACCTGGGGCTCTATCAAAGCCTATTTGCTTATAAGCAGTAGCTCTCTTGTAGAGTCCAAATCCGAAGTAATCACATCTAAAAGCCTATATAGCGCCAAGTTTAGTAATGCTTGCATTTTAATAGCAGCTCCTTCTTCAGTAATAATTACCTCGTCTTTTCCTGGATAGCATTTGGTCTTTTCTTGCTTAATTTTATATTAAGAAGGGTATAAATCAGACCCATTTTCACTTGCTGCTTCTCTTAGGTTTATATACTGCCACTTAATTTAAGTGAAACTAATATTGCCTTATCGGGAGAATATATACTACTTTTCACTTTACTTGTAATTACTACTAAAAATACTCCTTAACTTTTTCTAGATCTTCGGGGTGATTTGACAAGTGGTTCATTATTTCTCCTACATCTTCATTTCTAGTGTTTCTCAAACTAGCAATTGTAGTAGCTTTCATTTCATCCGGGGATAACGAAAGCGATTAGTAAATTTGTTCAATGCGTCTTCGTTTTTGCCTGGATCCCAATTCTTCAAAAGGTTTTCGAGGTGCAAAAATAGATGTCGAGGCTTCTGCAGTACATTTGAGGGTGGTACATTTTCAACATCTTCAGTATTAGAAATCTCGAGCCTTTCATGTGCAGTGTTGATAGCTTCAGGTATCATTCCTTCGGGCCAGTTTATTGCACATTCTAACCAATCACATTTTTTTCTTATAAACTGTGCTAACATGCGACTACTTCGTTTCCATATTGCACTTACATTTGAACAAAATTGCGTACATAATTTTTGGAGCTCAAAATTTTTCTCTTCGGTCACGTTTATTTGATTTTGTAGGAATTGAAAGAGTTTTTTATTATCAGACAGCGACTGTAGTTGCTCTCTTAAAATCATAAATAATTCCAAATTGTTAACAAAATTATCAATTATAACGGAAACAGCAAGATCACAACGCAATCACGAGATGTTAGTAGTAGTACGAATAAACGAACACTAGGTAGTATATAATAAACATGGTCACTTTATACTTCCAGAGACAAACAAATGTTTACTATATTTTCTACTACCCAGTAATGGCTGCTTAACTAGTTATCCTCATTAAATAATGTTAACTATACTGATAATTAGAGAGATTGCTTAATTAGAGACCTACTAAATGTATTGTTGTTAGGTATTATGTAATTATGGGTATCATTACGTGCTTTTACTTACTAATCCATATCATATTTAACTTAAAAGCACTTACAAAAAAATATATAAAGGTTTTTATTCTATGTATTTATTCATTTTTTTCGATCCATTTATTTGGCAGAGTTGCAACTTTATGCACATGTTCATAGCATCAAATGCTAGTAGACTAGACAAGGTATAAGGAAAATAAAGTTTCAAAGCGGGACCTCGCGGTACTTAGCAGGAATTTAATTGAATGTGACCCGCTCCATACAAAAAAATCACAAAACACATTTTTCTGACCAAACTATAAAGTTTTTGTAATTTTTGCCCAAAACAATTATTATTGAGATTAACGAGCTCTATCTATCTACATTAAAAAATTTATAAAAAAACAAAGTTGGTCCCTAAGTCACTAAAATCACAGTATCGACCCACTGTGCGCCGCCTCCCACGTACCACTAGGATCTCAATTACATCCTTGAAACATGAGGGCGAAGTTGCAATTATATACTACATCGTTTTCTTCATTTCTCAAACCGAAATGTGTCATCGCAATATGTCAATAATTATTTATTTAAAAAAAAACAATGATATTCGCAAGATTGATATTTAATTTGATTAAATTATCTCCCAAACATGAATAGTACCTACTGATATGTAAATTTTTATGATCACAATACAATAGGGCACTGGGGAAATCTCATTCGGCTAAATACCACTCGAGGTGTGACGTTTTTTGGGGGGAAAAAACAATTGAATTATAAATAATACACAACAATTAGCCAAGTGTGACATCAGGCGTTGTCACTGTTAGTGTCATGGCGGGCAGGCGGGTACCAATTTTTCTAATACTAAATACGTACTTAACAAATGTTCACGATTGTCTTCCACGGTGAAGGAATAACATCGTGTAATTAAAATCAAACCCGTAAAATAATAATTTCCGTATTTACTGGTAGTAGGAGACCTCTTATAAGTCCGCAAGGGTCCAAGCGGTAATGCGTTTCGATTTTGAAGGTTGGGGTAGCCGTTTTAGTGTAAAAACTGAGACCTTAGAACTCATCTCAAGGTGGGTGGCGGCATTACGTTATAGATGTCTATGGGTTCCGGAAACCACTTAACATCAGGTAGGCCGTGAGATCGTCCACCATCCTAAGCAATAAAAAAATTACAATTTTGTTTTTAAATTGCTTTTGATAATAACTGCTAGTGACAGTTTTGGTTTAATCACCATTCCTAATGATAAACTACTTTTTAATTTGTTTTCACATTAATGTCCAATTGCCTATTGTATCGGAGGCAAGATAAATCAAGAGAAATAGCAACTTGATAATAAATACATAGATTCGTTTTCAAACAGTGTTAGTTTTGTCAAATATTGCGCAACATCTATATTTATACAAATTTTAAAGCTTTAAGTTTTTTGTTATTTTAATTGCGTAGCGTCTGTGAGTTCGCACGGGTAGCACCACTATCCTGCCTCTTTCTGCTGTGAAGCAGTAATGCGTTTGCGGTTTGAAGGGTAGAGAAGCCGTTGTAACTATACTGAGACCTTATAACTCATATCTCAAGGTGAGTGGCGGCATTTACGTCGTAGATGTCTATGGGCTCCGGTAACCACTTAACACCAGGCGGGCTATGAGCTCGTTCATCCATCTATGCTATAAAAAAAAATTGTCATGGGACCCGGACACGTAAGACTAGGAAGTCACCTAGTGTTACGTGGTCATCAGAGCTATTAATATCAGACTGACTGAGAGCGCACGCACACACCAAATTGTAATGGATGTTCAGGTAACTCTTCTATTACACGGTATTTTACAACACGGTTCCAATCTAACACGAAAGAAAATTTCCCCAAAATCTTCTTATAACACGGTAATTCTACAACACGAAAACGAGATTTTTGTTCATAATTATTTAGAATATTACACTATGCATTATTAACACACTATATAAAGGGATAACCGAAATATTACTGCTTATTTTTTATGTTTATTAGGTAAAGAAATACATACAGGCATAGTACAGTACTCGCCTTTTTGTACTGACTTCTAGCCTTATATAACACGGTTTTCCACAACGCGGAACTTTGTAGGGACGTGTCTACCGTGCTATAGGTTACCTGTGTTTATGTTTGTTGGCTAAAATAAGTCATAACCTACTCTACTGAATTAGTTGATCAGCAAAAAGCTCTCAAAATAGTTTAATATTGAATATAAAACAAATTAGTAAAAACAACTTACCTTGGACTTTATGAATGTAACAAATAAAATCCTTTATGTATTAATAAAAAAAAAACTTGGAACTGATTATAAAGCACTTCACATTACACACATAGATTGTTAATGAGAGAAATCGAATGAATACAATTTCCTAATTTGTCAGTTGAAACAAAATGGCGTCGTATTGTAGTGTCAAACTTGTTTTAAGTTTTAGAATAAAAATCATATTTAAAAAAACAAAAAGTCAATCTATTCGTTCCGTGTTCTCGGCGTTGAATGATCGAGATTGAATGCATTAAGAAGAAATAGTATATAAATACCGGTTAACGTTATGAAGATAAGAATAATGATTCATCGATTATACATATTATATTCATTGGAAAGGGAGGTTTTTCAAAGGATATTCATTCATCGTATTAATATTGGCTGCAGGATTTTCGCTGCCAAGTAAATTAGTCCTCCCCTTCTACAGTTATTACGGTCGTTTTGTGGGAAGACTTGATAATGGCCGGCGGAAAACCTTTCGAGAATCCGGAATGGTTTACCGCCATAAAAATCCTTTCCGACGAATGACTTATTTTTCTTTCCTACCTATACTGATAGCCTTGAGAGGCTATTTTAGCTTCACCCTAACGTGTGTAGGTGAGCTCACGGGGCTCAAACCGGAGTGTTGCTAACACTGACCCTAGCAAGAGCAGTGCTTCGCAGAATCTACCACCGGATCGGAAACGCGACCCACTGAGAAGATCCGGTGAGAAACTCAGTGGGCTGTGTCTATGGGTTAATTTACTCGTCGAGCCCTTAGGTTCGGCGAGGACGGTGACCGATGCTTGAGGTACCTAAATGCACTATTAATGGAACGGGAGGATCCGTAATGACGTGCTTAGTGCAGATTCTGCGAAGCACTGCTCTTGCTAGGGCTAGTGTTAGAAAATTCTCTCAGGTTGAGCCCGTGAGCTCACCTAGTCGTCTGGGCGTAGCTGGAATAGCCCCTTAGGCTTGCAGCGAATAGGTAAGGAAAAAACCTTAGGAATGTTACTTAATCTAAATTAATCGCAATATGTTTATTAATTCGATTATTTCACCACCATCTATATTCATGAATATTGTTATGAAACTTCCGAGCCCTAGTATAGTATCATTTTCGAGCCGTAGACATAATCTATATATATAAAAGAAAGTCGTGTTAGTTACACTATTTATAACTCAAGAACGGCTGAACTGATTTGGCTGAAAATTGGTGGGGAGGTAGCTTAGAACCTGGAGAAGGACATAGGATCTTTTTATCACGTTTCTGTGGGATGTGGCATAAAATGTGGTATATAACAAAACGCAACAGATATGGAATAACAAAACGCAACTGACAGCTAAACGTAATGTAGTTTCTGGTTAATTATAGTAGAATTTTGAAGTTGACCGGTTGATGTGTTTATTTCGAGTTTCGATTAGCTTATTGTGCCGAGATAGGTAATCATTAAGAAAGCCATGCCGCGACCAACACGATCAAATCTTTCCCGACGAAACCATAATGCAACTAGGGTTCGAAACTTTGCGAGTGAAAGGACTGAAGAAGAACAAGAAAATATAATAATAATAACTAAAATACATGGCCAATAAAGAATCATTAAAATACTTGCTTTTTTAATTAACATTAATTATCCAATGTTACGCGGTGAGCGGTTTTGTAGTTTTAAAAAAAACTTTATTTTAATACACACTGAATTTATTTATCCTTTACAAAAATCTGATGTTACACGGACAGAGTTACGTTGTTATAAAGCTTGAAAATTGATGACGAACTTCTAACTTTCAAGGAGAAAGAGAATTTATACATGAATAGTATTTACTAAACAATTAGTAAATGAATCATTTAGATTATGAACCTTATTGGTAAACATATTTAGAATCCGTAAGGACACAATTAGTAAATGACGGAATTTTACCAATGTGAAAGGAATAGAATATTAACTAATGTTCTAATTCCAAATGAAGATCTGATGTAAAGTAAACAATATACATATGATTTAGTAACATGAGAAAATAAGTATGTTATATAGTAACAATGATTTAGAACTTAAGAACTAAGACTTAGAGTACATTATGTCTTTATGAGAATTGATATTTGACTTAGGTACTAGTGTGAGGGGCATAACATAACACCAAATAAAAAATTGACCTTGATCAAAAGTCTGCTCATTTACTGCCTCTAAGGCGGAACAAAGTTCGCCGGGGTCGCTAGTCTATATCTATACTAATATTATAAAGAGGAAAGATTTGTTTGTTTGTTTGTTTCGAATAGGCTCCGAAACTACTGGACCGATTTGAAAAATTATTTTTCCATTAGAAGCCGACATTGTCCCTGATGAACATAGGCTACTTTTTTTAATTTTTTAAAATTTTTTTTTTGTTTCATGTGTGTTTTAATGTTTCCGAAGCGAAGCGAGGGCGGGTCGCTAGTATTAAATAAATAAATAAATATTTAATAACGATCACGCCACGTTAACAGGTCCCGTGCTAAGTTCGTAAAGAACTTGTGTTACAGGTACCAGATAACGGAAATAAATGTAAGATTTTTATTATACACGTACATATAATATAATATACATCCATAACCCTGGAAAAGTAACTTTATATTTATCGTACAAATATCTTCCCTTGGCGGGATTCGAACCCGCGACCCCCTTGTGTAGTGACCATGTCACTTACCACTACACCAGACGGCCGTTATAAATAAATACATAAATAAATCTTTATTTTATATATCTAATATATGAAATAAATTTAAGTGAATAATATCTCAGTCGCCTGACGAAGAAAACTGTAGACTAATTAGTAAATAATTGAAATGACGGCCACAATTTAATGGCAAAAATAAAAGCGGTTTTAACTACAATCTAACTGCGCATCGTCATTGCAACTTCCCAGTTTTATTTTCCAACACTGCTTCCCGTCACCTAAATATGTAATAGTAAGGTTATCGTGATCCCGTACGGGTCTACACTGCGGCTTACAAATCTTCTTAGCAATCATACACTGATTCAAACTCAGAAGCGTCATAATACTAAAATTAAGAATAGTTTAAAAAAACTAACAAAATACGCTTTTATAGAAAATCCAACTATAAAAAGAAAATAATTTTTAACAAATTTGAATTAAAGATAGTGTAAGAAAAAATAATTTTATTGTAAAAAAAAAGCGTAGCGTGCTTTTCAGGATGTTATCAAAATAACCCTTCTACTCATATCTGTTCATAAAATATTTATAACTAGTGATACCATGCACCCCACGCTTTTTTTACAATAAAATCGTTTTTTCTTACACTATTGTTAATTCAAATTTATTAAAATTTATTTTCAGTGTATTTTGTTAGTTTTTTTAAACTATTATTAATTTTTAATTTTTTAGTTGAATTTCAATATTTTCTAAATTTTTTTTAATTGAATATTGAATTGTCATCGGTCCTTAAGTATACCAAATTTCGAGTTAATCCGGCGTTTTTAGGGGGTCAAAATCATGATCAAAAATTCCTTTACATACTAACATACATATACGTCTGAAGCTAATAAAAGCGTATTAATGAAACTTCTCGTTATATGACATCCCTCGTATTATTTCTGCCGTGAAGCAGTAATGCGTTTCGATTTGAAGGGTGGGGCAGCCGTTCTAACTATACTGAGACCTTAGAAATTATATCTCAAGGTGGGTCGCGCATTTACGTTGTATATGTCTATGGGCTCCAGTAACCACTTAATACCAAGTGGGCTGTTAACTCGTCCACCCATCCAAGCAATAAAAAAAAAAAAGAAAAAAAAATCTATGGTGATATCTATACCTACGCCATTAGATCATACATACATATCGAGGGGTGAAAGGCTATTCGGTTTTAATCGACATTTTTGCGACTTTGCTCCATTAGCGGTGCTTTTACCACAAGCACCGGTCACCATCCTCCTCGAACCCGTCGCTTGCGACGAAGGGCTCGACGAGCGAATTAACCCATAGACTCAGCTCACTGAGTTTCTCACCGGATCTTCTCAGTGGGTCGCGTTTCCGATCCGGTGATAGATTCTGCGAAGCACTACTCTTGCTAGGGCCAATGTTAGCAACACTCCGGTTTGAGCCCCTATAGTCTCTCAAGGCTATCAGCATAGGTAGGACAAAAAAGCGACTTTGAAAAGAGCCAAAACAATGTCATAACAAAAAGAAAATACTTCTGCAGCTCTATTTAAATAGAGTAAAATTAATTGAAGTTCAATTAAACACATCGAACTGTTCACGATAATCACTACATAGTATAAAACAAAGTCGCTTTCTCTGTCCCTATGTATGCTTAAGTCTTTAAAACTACGCAACGGATTTTGATACGGTTTTTTAATAGATAGAGTAATTGAAGAGGAAGGTTTATATGTATAATAACATCCATTAAATAGTGGAGAAATCAATAATAAATTACAGTTTCTGAAGCGAAGCGAGGGCGGGTCGCTAGTACCAAATAAAACGCAACTTTAATTACAAAGATAAATGTCGCGTATTAAGGTAAATTTCTTTCAACCCTCGATACGCCAAAATAGTTTTTTCAAGCAAACCGTTGATTTAAGACATCCCGAAATTGGCTTACGGCGACTTCGAGGCGAACCGTCGACAACAAAGTCGGTTTTTGAACGCGTAAAATAAACAATTTCGCGAACTTTACGCTTCTAACTTCCTTATTGATGGGCATAAAACGTATATCTATCTATTTATAGGATGTAGTTTCATTTTTGGAAAGGGTTACCAATTTAACGAAATTATCGGGGTTCTCTTTTTTTTTTAATGCTTGTATCAAACTGAAGGAGATATAATAAGTGTTTTATGATGATTATTATTTTTTCCTACCCGTGCTGGTAGCTTTAGAGGGCTATACCAGCGTAACCTAGCGATTAGATGAGCTCACGGAGCTCTAGCCTGAGGATGTTGCTAACATTAGCCCTAGCGGCAAACGCTCCAACCGCATACAAGTTTGAATTTACTTCTACGCTTACGAGAACGTTAAAAAACTGCACTAAGCACAGTTTTATTAGTGGTAGGACCTCTTCTGAGTCCGCGTGGCTGGGTACCGGTCCCGCAGTAGTCGAAATTCGACTATAATTAATTGAAATTATAACTTTCAACATTATTATGGTACTATTGTTACAGATTTCGCCAAGACTACACTATAGACAAATACTCGTAATATTAAAGATAAACAATACTAACTTAATC